AACCCGACAGGTAGCAATACGCGGTAAGAATGGGAAAAACAAGACCAAAACAGACTAAAACAGAACAATACCACCCCCAGCATTCCTAAAAAGTGTGATTTGCGTATGAATACTCCGCTGTCCACGCACAACCTAGGGCTTTTTTTTACCTTACACATACACTAAGACCGACTAGGAGGCGGACGGGCGAAAATTTGGCCGTAGAGTATTTATGCCTAGGGAGTGCCGTCTCCCGTAGTTTCCCAGCTTTTTCTCCCTGAAAAGTCCATCTCTCTCCTCTTTCCTTCTTTCTCCTCTCTTCCACCAACCCTATAATTCTATAACCTATCATCACAATGGCCACCTCTCGTGTCTTCGCCTCCCGCATGGCCTCCGTCATGGCCCAGACCTCCAAGGTCGCCCGCCCTGCTGCTCGCTTCCAGCTCAACGCTGCCACCAAGCGCACCTTCACCCAGAAGGCCCCCGCCTTCGGTGCCCCCAAGCGCATCCAGTCTCCCACTCTCCTCCAGGCCAAGGCCTTCCAGACTGCCGCCCGCCGCCAGTACTCCTCCGAGGTTGCCTCCGCCATGGTTGAGGTCTCCAAGAACATCGGTATGGGTTCCGCCGCCATCGGTCTCGGTGGTGCCGGTATCGGTATCGGTCTCGTCTTCGCCGCTCTCCTCATGAGTGTCTCCCGCAACCCTGCCCTCCGTGGCCAGCTCTTCTCCTACGCCATTCTTGGCTTCGCCTTCGTCGAGGCCATGGGTCTGTTCGATCTCATGGTTGCCATGATGTGCAAGTACGTCTAAATTATCTACAACTCGGGTTTTCGGATTCTTGGAAAAATGTCATCAAAACAAGGATTTTGGGTTTTTTGAGAGAATCTCTTTTTCTGCCGGGGAGGGTATTTGGTCGTGATGTATTACCATGTACTACTTTCAGCGTCATCTACAACACTTTTCTTTCTGTACATATAGAGTCCTATATGGCCCATCGACCATCCAACCTATCAAAGAGCCAAACGAAAAACTCTGTGTGTTGCGTCTGACGGCTGTATAATATCCCCTCTCCCTTCCTAGATTTTCACCTTCCCCATGGGGCGGACGGGAAAATATACACGTATGGGGGCTTCCCGAGCTATCTTGCTCGAAAGCTCAGAACTCCACGTAGACGAGCTACAAAGCTATAACCCGGGGGAGTCCTAGCTCGATTTTCCAAGATAAACAGCTCCTACTCTGTTTTTAGGCTTGTTTTATCCCCATTCTAGCGGATGTTGCAGGTACTGCAGTATTTGACCCGCTCTTCAACGAGCGACTACGCCACGACTACCATCCATTGGCCTACAATAGACGGTAAGAGTAAACTAGAAACGGTTCATAAGACCATTGAGCTATTTTATAGCAAACCATTAGTGCTGACGGATCTCAATTGAGCTGAGAGACCCTCGACGGAAAATTCTTAGCTCCCGGACCTCGGGAACGGCTTTCCCGTAGTCAGCTGACTCAGCGTGTGACATCAGCCCTGCCCAGGTGGAATCTCCAGGGCTGCCACAGAGGTCAGGTCTCTGCATGCAGCATGCAGGACTTGAATGGCGAAGCAAGTCATATTGGATTGTGAGCTGGGTGTCTTGTGAATTTACTCTGGCTTGGGGTTGAGGAATTGAAAGCTCTGATGTTCGGCGCCTTCCCCGTTTATATCCACGAACCTAGTCCTAGTCCGCTTTCGGTTAGTGATAATATCAAGTAGTAACTATATGTATCTCAGTGACATTGTACGATATCTAATGTATCTTTCTTTCTGGTGAATGCATAGAAATGTCTACATATTGGGGGTGTTTTTTAGGCTAAACCTTTGGGATGTTATCCTAATTTAGTAACATATATAATGTTTTGAGGTGGCTCTCAAGAGTTTATCTAAAATATATATCAGCGACTACAGAATCATGTTAACCAAAGTCCTCTTTTTTTTCTTCTTTTTTCCTTGTTTAGCTTTTAGTTTAATACGATACAGTAAATCAAGAATAGAGCCCATAGTGATTACCAAAGGGACCTATACCTGCAAATAACTAGAAGCTGGAAGAGCAATGCACGTGCCAAGCAGACACGCGACTCATCGCGTCAATACACCTGGCCCGGGCAACCTTGGAAGATACACACACTCCAGTTGGAAGGAACAAACCTTGGAAAGCTCAAGTGCATCAAGAAACATGCTCCATTTCAACGATATAAATGCGCAACTTGTTAACAGAAAGATATGCAAAAACGATCACAAAAAAATCGACTCCAGACATGCCATAATCGCTCGATGAAACCGATGAAACGCTGAATGGGAATATGTATCACCAGGACTTGACAAAAGAGAAAGGCCCGATGTGTAAGCACACCAAAGCAAACAAGGAAGAGAGCAACAAACACCAGCTAGAAGATTTCCAGATCCTCAAACTCGACCACCAACCCATCCGCCGAAACCGTCGGCAAAGAGGCATCCAGCGTCATACCATGCATAGCATCCCACATAGTCCCACCACGCGACAGACCCATCGGCCGACTCGCATAAACCCCAACATGCACAAACTTATCCTCAACCCCATAAAAGAACCACGTCACCTCCCGCAACTTCTTCCAGGTATTTCCCACCGCACCAGGCGATAGAGCGAACGGCGATGCCGACGGAACCTGGTACCAAATCCACAGCGCATGGCCGACACGCTCAAGCTTGATACGCAGCGAGTGGATCGCTAGTCCGGCCTGTGCCGACTGCGCCAGCGGCGACAAACACCAGTCCGCGCCATCTGCCGTGGCGCTCACCGACGACGCGTTCACCGTCCCTGATGAAAACTCCATTCCGGCTTTCACCCATTTGCAGGGTGAGCGTGGTGCGTTGCGGAATGCAGGCGGTCCGTTGACTTCAGAGGAGAAGGATTGCGGTGCTGCGCCGGCGAATATCACTAGCCCGCCTTGGTCCATTTCCATTTCCCAGTCTGCGCTCACGGTCACTTCCGCTACGACGAATGCGTGTTGGAGGGATGTGAAGACGATCGGGGCTGTGGAGGTTTCGCCGTTCGGGGGCTTGCGCCATAGGTCTGTGTTCGGGCCCGCTCGTAGTGTGAAGTATTCCATGCATTGGGGTAGTTCGAATGTCGGTGGGAGGTTTAGGGCCGTGAAGGTTGACCCATCTGGAGGCATTTTTTTGATTTTTGATTTTTCGTATTTGGGTTTCTTGAATTGGGTCTCCAGGCGCTTTTAACAGGTGGAAAAAAAGGAAAATAATTGTAGAGTCACACTGTGTGGTTTCTCGAAAATAGGAATACCCCGGATGAGGATGCAGCAGTTGCTACTCTTAAATCCTTCAGCAATGACGCTGGGGTCACAGCATTTGCCTCTAAAGTTTAAGCAGGTGCATTAATCTGAGCAAATCAAATCATGCACGATGAGTAGAAGGCGGGAAAAAAAAAAGAAATCTAAACAATTGTTGGGAGATGATGCAGTCGACAATTGGGATATGCCGAATGCGGGTTGCGCCAGACCTGGAAATGGGAACACCCAAAAAAAAAGCAAAAGGAAAGTGAAGCAAAAAGAGAAGAGACGAGCAAATAAATTAATGGTTTGAACTACGTAGGGCTTATATGGCGAGAACAAGTGTCCCCCTAATGGATTTTAGGGACGATCTTAGTTTGCCCTGGGGATGACCCTATCAAAGGAGCAGAACCATAGTGCTGGAGACTCGAACCGAGCTGTTGGGATCATCGAGGCGCTAGGGTCATGTTCTTTATAGTCAGTTTCTTTGAGGGTGGCCCTCGAGAAGCGTGCTTGCATCGCTTCGGCGACAGATGGGCTGCGGGCCAGTTCGCAAGTGGCGGGTCACCATGCATCTGCGGAGGATCCATCACGATGTGACGGAGCTTCTGAGAGGAGAATCCAAGGTCCTTTAGGCCGAAAGGACCCAAGGGGCACACAAAACAAGAAACAGGGCGAGTGTGTGCAGTTGACACTTGTCAGAGCTGAATGAAAGAACCCGAGCTGGGAAATATTTCATATCCACCGATGGCCGGTGGCAAAGAGATTATACTTCAACTCATCGAGGATCGATCGGAACAATGCAGGACGCATGAACTGGGTGGAACTCAGATTCGGGGAGCTGAGAATTGCCTGGGATGTTCCCTGGTCGGTGGTTTGACAGGTTACAGGAAAACAGAGGCAAATCTTCAGATTTTATTTTCTCTGCAGACTCACGCGGTTTCGCTCTCCACTTGTTCTGCACGAGGCTGAAGAGGGTAATCGTGGATGTTTCATGGGGACCCCTGGATTATATGTAAGATGTACCTACATATAGGTGATGTTAAAGATATAATATAAGAACCATCAAACATAGTTAAAACCCTTCTCCCCACATCTAACCTTCTCCCTTCTCTATCTATAATATTTATTCTTCATAGTTAACTATACTCTCTCCCTATTCGCAAAAGGAAAATCTACTGACCAGCTGATATGTTTCTTTTTATAGACTGCCAAGGCTTTAGTCCGTGACTTCCTTTCTCTGCTTTCCAACTCATTTAACGGTGATGTGTTGGCATCTTCGGGCGCAACTTAACTGGGTTCTGACATCTTTCTCTGCCTAACATCATATTTCCTCCCCTTCTTCCATTGCATTCCAAATCTCAAAAGCTACAGCGCCCCGCGCTAGCACCGAGGTACTCTGTAGCCGAACATGCACGGGGCGAAGTACAGCCCCAAAAAGGGGGTCAAACCCGGAAGATGACTAAAATCAACAAGGCGAAGTCAACTCGTATTTTTTTTTGGAGCTTTCTGCCTTCCAAGGCTAAGTATGAGCTTTGGGCCAATCAAACCCGCCCCATTGACATATTGGCTTCGTATTTGCCCTTAAGCCTTAATCCAAGCTCGCGTACTCTGTATGGATGGTTTGCTTGAGCCCCCTGATCCGTTTACTTAAATGCCGTCTATTTCGTAATATCTGGGGAACTTCTTTAATTCCTCAGAGCTAAGCAGACCAAATTGCAAAAAATGGCTCCTCGACGCGGCGGCGGAAGCTCAAGCTCTTACTCGAGCTACGATGACAGTCCTTGGGGCGAGACGGTCTGGCTGTCACTGGAACACTACCAGAACAAGCCTCTCTTTATCGTCCAATTTGTCTTTGATATACTCTCTCTTCTCGCCTTGGTCGCCTTTCTCATCTGGGCATGCACAATCAGGAATCGCAGTCTCCCGCTGAAGGGAGTCATTTGCGCCCTGACTTCCTTTATATTGTATGTGGAAACTCCTGACTCAAATAAACAATTAGCTAACTAGTCGGTAACTCGCTAGCTCCCAGATAAACATGATCGTCTTGGAAGCCATGCTTGTCGCCGAGACGAAGGTGACGATGTACTATTTGATCAGCTTCATGCTCATTGACTTCTTCAAACTCGTTGCGATCTGTCTCACCCTCTATGTCTTCTGGGGCCTCATCCATCGGTTCCTGGGCCTTATTAGAGCCTCCGGCAAGCCACATGCGGCAGTGACCACCATCCATTCTGTCTTCCTTGGCATCATCTTCCTGGTTTCTCTAGCCGAATGGGGCTTGTGTGTCGCTTATTACGTGCGGAGTGTGACTTCCCATTCGGTTGGCGAAATAGCGTGGACTTGGACACAGCTGAATGGTGCGGCTTATATCGTCTATTGGGTGCTGTCCACGGAGATCCTCGCTTGGGTGATCTTCGTGGCCATTAAGGCTGGTAACTATGCTTTTGCGTCGAAGGTGAGTCCCACCCCAATACTCCCTAAGTGCACACACCGACTAACTGGCTATTTTCAGTTGCCCGCTATGGCACTCATCACCGCCGCCATCTCCTGGTGCGCAGTGTGTACCACCGTGGCCATCATTAACATTCGCTATAATCTGATGTATACATCCTATGAGTATGGTCGGCCGACGTACCTGGAAACCGCCAAAACCATTATACAGTTCGTCCTCTGGGTCGGCACTTATGCTGGCGTCCTTCTGTGCTGTGCGAAATGGCACAGCCTCGGCGATGGGCGGAACTATCCCGCGCCTCAGTACCAGCCTCAGTACCCTCCTGATCAATTCCCACCCGATCAGTTCCCCGCAGGACAGTATCCTCCAATCCAACAGCAGCCATATGGTGTTGCTCCCTACCTGGACCATTCGGCGCAGCCTCAGGCTCACTCGCACCACGTCTCGCGCCACTAAGGTTGAAGTGAAGGTCGGATTCTGTTGAGCCTACTGGTTGGTTTCCTCCTGTTTTTGATATTGAGTTTCCGTTCACTGTGATACTCTCTTTTAATGTATATACCGACCTTTATGTTGATACCCAATACGATGCGAATGACAACACTGCTAGCCTCTTTTTGTGGAAAATTGTATGCACCATTTCAAGTTTGCATGGAATAATACCGTAAGAACTAAAAAAGCACAATAATACCAAAAAAGCCAGTCATAAAACACGAAGAAGCAAGTAGACAAAACGTCTTGGCATGTCACCAGGCGGTGGCGCAAACCTGCGATAACATCATCTTCATTTTCGCCATCAAGCCTTCTCCCGATCAACAGCTCCCTCCTTCACCTCTCAGCAGCGAAAAAAGAAAAAAATGGTCTGCTCAAAATGCCAAAAGAAGCTCAAAGCCACCGAGCTCGCCACCCCCGGCGTTAAGCGCAAGAACGACATGTACTACGGCTCGCCGTCTAGTACACTCGGTGGCGGCGCAGACAAGGGAAAGGCGAAGGCGACGCTAGGCGCCACTGGAATTGGAAAGGTATGTTACAGACTTTTCTGTTCGATACTATGAATTAAAATGTATTACTATTGTATATGAATTTGATACTGACATCCCCTCCCAGAGCAAACTCCTCAGCGCGAAAGCGAAGAATCCTTATGCGGCTTATGCTTCGTCTTGTGATAACTGCAAGGTAAAGACGGAGCAGGGGAAGAAGTTTTGCCAGCGGTGCGCTTATCAGAGGAATGGTATGTTGCTCTATCTTTTTTTTCTTGGCTTGTTCGTTGCTAATGCTGATATCGATACTAGCCTGTGCTATGTGCGGCAAGAATTTGGCGGGCAAGTCGGCCAAGGACCAGCCTATTGTTCAGGGACAGAAGTTCAACATGGCGTGACGTGTTTGCAGTTTTGATCTGGGCGGTCGCGCATTCTATTTTCTATTTTGATTCACTCTGTACATGGCATGGCGTTTCTGGGGCGTTGATGATACCGCGGAATCGAATATTAATATCAAACATTGGAATGAAATGAATTTGATTTGACAGTGTAGGAAAATTCTAGTTATACATGACATGCGCAATAAGAGTATATGCAGTGCGCCACCAATAGTGCGCTATAGTATCGGAACAAGTATGTCTTTTCATCTTCGAAGAATCTCGAACCTCGCGTCCTCCTCATCCAGCTCCCCTCAGCTGCTTCCTGGTATCTACCTCTTACCGGTCGGCCAGCATGTTCTTGATGTTGCTGTAATATTGCGTGTTCAGGTATTGCGCGAGCTCCTCCTTGGCAAGCCACTTGAAGTCCTTGAGGCCCTGGGTGTTGACGGACAGATCAGCCTGACCGGCCATCATACGAGACTTCAAGAAGAAGATCTTGCTACCGGGAACCTCGACCTCGGTTGCGTTGTCCGCATTCTTCGAGCGGCGCGGGTTGAACGAGTGCCACCCGACCGGGTGGAAGCCGACCATCCACGTGTTCATGTTGACACCGGCGGACTGGGCGAGGGTACGTTCAGCAGCCTAGGCGGAAAATAATATGTTAGTGTAATTTCGAGAGTCAATGAGGCTCGAACACTAGTATAGCACTTACCAAGCGAAGGGTCTCGCCCGACTCCACCGGCGAGCTAGGGAACTTCCAGTGTCCCTCCTTAGACTGAACAAGGAGATAGAGAGTGCGGGAAAGCAAACGATCGAGACTTTTTTGGTCGTTCTTCTTGTCTGCCTCTGTGATCCGGGGGTACGGCCGAGGGATCTCCTCCTTTTTGCTAGTATCTTGGGAAGTCGCATTGGCAGTGGATTCTGCATCCTGGACAAGAGCCTCAACCTGGTGCTCTGGTTCAGACTCGTGCGCCCCCAGCAGGAGCTCGTCGTTCCATGCATCGCTGTCGTACGCGTTGTACTTTCCGATATCACGTGCGGCAGTCCGGCGCTCCTGGATTTTCTTCTTCCAGTCTTCGTCGGCTGGTGTTCCGCGCTTGAAGTAGAAATATTTCGTAAAGGGGAGGGCCAGACGCTCGTTCAGACGCTTCTGGTAGAAAAAGAACGCTTTCTCGAATGGTTCGAGTTCACGGGTGATTTGCGGAGGGCGGGAGAGGACTACACCCGCGTTGATGATGTAGGCTGGCTTCACAGCTGGGTCTGCCGCTGTTGATGTGGACGTCGATTCGATCGCTGGTGCTGCAGAGGAATAGCTGCGGCGGCCAAGGGTCTCTTGACAGCTTCTGCACACGCCGGAGTCGATTATTGACGGCCCTGCGCGCGGAGTCAGTATTTGGATCTAAATAATCCGGGAAGAACTTCAATTGGACATACGCAGTAGCGAGGCCACGCGCCGTGCACCATTAGATCCTGACGACATGTTCAATGGTGGAATGGCAATGTGTTTGGGGCTGATCGGTGTCTTGTCTCCCCGAGAAAAAGATCCAACCAGGTCACGTTGTCGCCAGGCCCGATTGGGTTTAGTCACCGCCCGGGTGGTTTAAATTTCAAAAATCGACTTTCCCTTTTCTTCTCTTCTCCAAGCATCTCTTATCATCACCGCGTCCAGTCATCTACGGCCGGTTGATCATTTAAAGGTGCTCAGAGTAAGCTCCTCCTGAGGTCGCGGCCAATTTTCGCTAGCGGTACCTTCTTTTAAAATCAAGGCGTACTGTTAGATAGCTGCCGCGAACATCCCCTTTAGTCTTATGGTTATGTGCTTTAATAGAAATCCATTTTTACCTTTTTACCCTTCTCTTTTCTCTATCTTCTCTCTCCATCTTCTCCGCAAGTATTCTCTTCCCCCAGAATCATAAATTACCTGCCCTCAAACCTCCACCAGCAGCTCTTCCTGCTTTCCTAGTTGCACCATCCTCTCCTGTGTACCGAACACACGCAGTATGTTCGCGTAGGTATCCCAGAAGGCATCTCCGAGACGCGGCAGTAATTTACCCTGGTTGACCAGGCGAGCGATACGCCCAGAACCAGTGTCGGCTAGGGATGTGCCAGCTCGAGCAATTTGGGCAGGTTGAATCGTCGGAATGGTCTCTGTGTCAACGTCAAAGAAGTTGCTGAATTCACCTTTAGGATTAGGGTGGCTGCTAGGCTGTGCCATGACACCGGCAACCAAACTGGGTGCCGTGGCCGTCTGTAGCCCAGGTTTGACAGTCGGCTGTGAAGGGCTGCGGTGTATATCGCCTGCCAATTTGATGAAGGCCATGGCGGCAAGCATGCTATCATATCCTGCCTCGTGGCTGCGCTTACGGAACTTGTACTTCGCAAAGCGCGGGTCGATCTCTGTGAAATGGTTAGTTGTGCTTCGCTTGCTGTTATGGATATGACTCATGTTCTACCTATCTTCGGGCTTTCTATTCCAGCTAAAGTTGTGTTGAGCTCTTCGAGTGAAGACATAGGGTTAAGAGAGCCGCAGTCATGAGTGGCCATGTACTTGGTATCGGCTAGCACAGGGAATAGGTCGTGGATGATGGTCTGGAACTCGGCGAGGGTGCCCGGCAACGGGCCCAGGAAGCATCTGTGGAAGAAGAGTAGATCGAAGAACATGTTGTGGCCGACTAGAACCGGTCTGTTCTCCTTGAGCCGGTGCTTCACTTTGTCTGACAACTGCTGGATCCCGAATGTCGGCTGCTCGATTATCTTCATCAGAGGATGGAAAGCGTCTGGTTCAAGGTCTTCCAGGCTTCCACCCACAAGTGCTTCTGCGATCCAGCGGAACCCGATATGCTTCCGGACTCGTTCCTTTTTGACCCTCAGTTTCGTTTCGAAGGCAAACTGCTCGTTACCCGGATCCCGAAATTCGATCTGGACGAACGTTGACGCACCCCGCGACGTTAAGTTGGGGTATTCATCGCTGATAAGGTGGTGTATCAGCCATTTCTGCATGCTGCTCAACCCGGTAGGTATGGCACCCGGAATGATTTGCACACTGCTGGGTGGCGGGATGTTGAGCCACTCACGGCGATTCTATACACGTCAATTGATTTACTCAGATCAACTTTTGATATTTGATACGACCTCTCACCTCGCCCTGTGCCAGCCACTCATTGACACTGATCCGAACGGCTTCAAGGAACTCCAGAGACTCATGGTCGTCTTTTTTGATATCCGCAGCTTGGACCGGGTTCCGCGAGTAACATTTCTCCGTAGCTCTTTTGATTGCCAGTTTTTCTTCCTCTCGAGACAGGTATCGGACACCAAAGGTGCACATATGGTCAATGCTGAAGTAGTTCGCGAGCAAGAATTCCATTGCTGTCCAGGAAGATATTAGTGGTATGCCCAACATTGGCCATAGATACCTGACATACAGCGGCTTCCGAATGTCCAGTCCCGATTCACATCCATCTCATGTTGGGTGACTGGACTCAGATTTATGTTGTATGGCTTGAGGGTGTAGGTAGCTGTAGATGGTTAGCGAGATACATCTCGAATTAGTGTTGATTTCGTACCAGTTTCCTTGTCTTCATGGCAAGTTGTCAGCCCAACTTGGAGAATCTGGTACCGTTCTGCGGCCGCCTTGGCTTCCACATATCGCTCCTGCACAGTCTGGGGCCGGGACTGTGAGATGCCTGGTTTGAAAACCACCCCAGACATCTCGAAGTCTACAGACACGAAGCAGCTGGTGGAGATGTCGTTGAGCATGGAGGGGAGACACTCGGGAAAATTGACAGCTGTGACGTCCATCTTGGTTCGAAGTTGAGAATAGCATCGAAGTATGATCTTAGTGAATGAAGAGAAGAAGCGAGAAGGAGAGAGTTGCTGATTGGCTTTGTTGAAGACTTTGATTGCTGCAAGCTGAAAGGAGAGTGTGCTTTGGGAAGGCAAGTAGCCGAGTTTCACTGATCAGAAAGGGTCCTGCTCTGGGCAAGTCGTCGGAAGAGAGATCTGATGGAAGACTGAGAGCTTGGAAGTTTGCTGGTCTATTTGCCTGTTAAGTATAGGTCAGAGTTGAGATAGGAGGAGAAAGCTGAAGAAATATGATACAATCGAAGATCTCGAAGTGTTCAAATGTCATCCAGCCCTGGTGCTTTATCACTGACTTCACTTCCGTATGGATAATGATATGTACATTTTATCAATGATTTCTTAGCAATTGTCAAAATACATTTTCTATTGCTTCAGAGTTACAGCATGAAGCTTCGCGGGGAATATCTACATTACCCTGGAATTTAGCTCAGTTGGGAGTGTGTAAATGACCGAAGAGAGGTTGTTGTTATGCTCGTAAATCCAGCGAGACGTTAACCGAAACATTCGGAGGAGTGGCCTAGGGTGGTCAATTTCCAGGGCAAAGCACATATTCTGTCTATGGATTAGCGTAAAATGAATCATAAATTAAGAATAGAATCTGAAGTTAGTACATACAATTGGTGTATATAAACATGAGATGTCGATCTCACAGGCCAGTCCCGTGACCGACCCCGGACTTGGACGAGCCGAGGGAAAACGAGAGAGCCGATCAAAGCCCCGACACGTTTCCCAGCTTGAATGGTTTCCCTTTTATAATTACTCCCTTTACTCTTGGACTACTTTCTGAAGATAAATATTGCTTTTCTGATATCTCGGCCTGCACAATGGCCAACGGATCCCCCATGTCGTCTCACTCTCTCGCCCCATCCTCAGGTTCCCCCACAAAGTTGTGCTCGAAGACATACAAGAAAGCCTCCCAACTTTACCTCACACGACGCTTACCAGAAGCCCTCACAAATCTCCAACCGATTATTACCCCTTCAGCACCAGAGGACCAGCACACAAATGGCGACGACTCAACACCGATCGCACCGATCGCCACGGCGGCCGGCACGTGGAGGATCAAGGTGTGGAACCTCTACATCACCCTCCTCAGCGCAATAGTCGATCTCGGTGCAGAGGAGGGAAAGAGGCAATTTGGCCTGAAGGAGTGGAAATCAATTGCCTCGCAAGTTAGAGAAGGCGCAATTTGGGAGACTGTGGTCGACGTCGGGTACCGAGGCCATGAGGGTTCGGTGGATGCCGAAGTGGTCTACAACCTGTTAGTATTTGACTTCAACCCCGCTGACCCGCATTGAGGTACTAACAGCGCGATGACAGTGCTACCCTCCTTCTAACCCACTCCTCTTCGCAATCCTTAAACCAACAGCGCCTTGAGACCTATCTCTCCTCCTATGGACAACCCAACCTCGACCTCACGGATCGTCTACAGGATGCATCTGATGAGTACGAGCAGCGCCCCATGCGCACGACAAGCGGAGCCGATACCCCAAAAGATCTAACTGCCAGAGTAAAGATCATCGAGCTCTTTACTTTGCACGTCCTCCCCCGCAACGATGAGTGGGAGTACTCGACCGAATTCATCAATTTGAGCGAAGTCCTCGATGAAGAACGCAAAGATCTCTTCCTACAGACTCTCGAGGGCCTGAAGGAAGAGAAGGAGCGGGGTGAAATGCGTGCAGTCGAATTACAGCGAGCCAAAGATGCAGAGCTTGAACGGCAACGAGAGGATGAGCGTCGCGAAGCCGAAGAAGCAGCGGCAGCCGCTGCGCGAGTACAGTCCAATGGGCATAGGCGCAATACCAGCGAAGTGGACTACGGAATTGAGAAAAACCACGCACATGGTTCTCCCAAAAGCAAAGGAGCCAGGCAATCGACAGACAAGTCGCCAAACGGCAAGTCACGAACTTCTCTCTCATCATCCAGCCCCAAAAATGTCAAGAAGCAGAACAAGGCCGAAGCTCCGGGTCGCCCAACTCGGGCCGTGGCCGCTGGATTGCACAACATCTTCCGTCACATTATCCGGACTGTTTCTGGGAATCCCATGTCAATAGTGCGCACCCTACTTTTCGTGATTGGCATTTTGATGGCCATGAGCCGGCAGGGTGTGCGTGATCGCGTCCGACGGGTCACAGACGGCGCTTGGCAGAAAGTCAAAGCTACGGCCGGAATGGGAGTTAAAGTGAGCTATATTTGAGATATAGGCCACTTCACTCTTCGCGCACATTGCATGGCTATCATGTGCATTTTTCCTTGATCAAGTTGGCCCCCAGGGTTCTTGGGGTTGTTTTTGCATACATATTTCTTTTGTGATTCCCTTTGTGATTCTCTATGTTCGTGTATTCTATGCATACATACCAGATTGCCACCAGGTGTGGTTGAATTTACTCTTATCCAAGTTCGATGTTTTTTTTGTCTCAGCCAGCAATTTTCGAAGACAGCCTTCATAAACGTGGACGTCATCCAGAGTATACTCACCCCACTCCTTCATGAATTGAGTTAGGTTGAAGAAATTGTGCATCACTGCTATGTAAAAGCTTCAAGAAACGTGTAGACTATTTCTGGGGTCTCATCCTCGACTTGCTTTACAATAGTGGCGTTGTTTTGAGCACGACGTGCAGTCCAACCTATGTTGGTATCTATATTATCTTCACCCGAGGGAGAGATAACATAGTTGTCTAGAGACTGGGAATGAAGAAAACACACTCTTTGTGGGAAGCCATAAAATCCCAAACAAAGAAGTCGACACACAATTCATTTGTCGCCATGATTAGTCGAAATTCATGGGAAAACTGTATCAAGATGCTCAGGTTTGACTATAAATAAGACATGCAGCACACATAAGGACACAGCCTTGTAAACCCCCTGTCTTACTGGGTTATATCAAAGAGAAAGAAACAAACTGTCTCTTGACTCCCAGAATGAAGATCAAGAAGACCAAGAAGCACATTCTCAAGGATGCACTTGAAGAGGATAGCAATGAACACACTCTGAAGGATAATATTGAAGAAGAAGAGGAAGCACTGGAATATCATGACCTTCCCCCAGGATAACGCACTTCAACTGGATGACCAAATAGAAGAAGAAGAAGAAGAAGAAGAAGCACTTGAGCCTCGTGGAACGCCTCTGAATTCAAATTCTTCATCTGGTTCCACTGCTCCATTAGGTTCCATTGCTCCATCAGCAGAGCAGCGAGGGCTCCCCTGCCAACGGTGCTTTCCACGCATGGAACAAGATCCCAACCACGTTTGCATTACTAAACCAGACCATCGCATATGTGGGTATTGTAGTAAAAGCCGAAACCGCTGCTTGAAAGTGAGTGATTGGGCTATGAATCTGCTGAATAGGTTGATCTGACAACATCTCTGCAGGTGCCATATGCAGTTCGGGCCAGTGCTACTTGAGCACTCTCTCTGCACGTCCCACGGAAGTAAGAGCTGCCCTTATCCATGCAGTTAAAAAGCATATGCGACGTTATCCCAGTTCCGAATCGACTTATCGACCTCCTGGTGAAGCCGCTGTACAGCCATGCCCTCGCTCTTACCAGACTCCCATTACGAATGATCTGAGAAATCATAACATCGAGGCCATCTCGGCTGTTCGTGATGAGATCCAGGCTGTGATGGATCGTACTCAGTGGGAGGCCAGGAAGATTACTGAGCGGTTGGACGAGCTACAGACCGAGGAAGAACAGGAGGATTTGTCTGCTTGGCTGTAAAAGCTTCTTTCGCTCATTTGCGTGCAGAACTTTCACTGGCGTTTCATGTCTTGTCCAGAATCTAGCCAATCCATGGTATTTGCAGTTTGATCAGTCTTTGCCGTAAGTAGTTCATATCCAAGCAACTCACGACAGAATGATAGTGTCTTGACAAAACGCACGTACAATCTTGACCTGTACATATGCAGTTACCTGGCTGGCTCCACCTCTTGATATCTAAGTTTACATCCAGAATTCATGGAGTGAGTCTAACAGATATATGTTTCGTTGCCAAAAGAAAGGAAAAAGCAATTAAAGACTCGGTCTAAAGAGCAGTCATTGCCACAGAGGAATGAAAACAAACAATCTATTCTAAACGGGTATCAAACAGTCTTATTATCATGATCACGTCCAGCGTGGTCTCCACATGAGTCCTCAGCCATACCAATCTCAACATCATCACGCGTGCTGGTGCTGTCATTCAAATCCTCTTTCTCAACGATTCTAGCATGCCACCATCGAAACAGCTGAACGAAGAAATGCGCCACGCAGATCTGCTCCGTGGTATAGAGCAGCACCGGCACCGATGTCTTCGCCTTTATGAAGAGATCAACTGGCTGCCACATTGCGTAGAGCAGCGGGATACCGAGAGCGGTGCTCTTTGCTGGTCCGCAAAAGCACACAGCAGTAGTTTCCTCTGGAGACATGCGTTTGAATATGGGCTCGGACCAGCGTCGGGAGCTGAAAATTCGCGGTGGTCTGGAGCAGAAGAAGCATACTGCCGTTAAGGTGATGTATAGTATGATGTTGAATAGGACCACGAAGACTACGCTCTGCGCGGAAAGGGTTTGGAAGGCTCCTGTTGCGAAGCAGGAGGAAAACGTGGTCCTAATGTATGCTGGGTTAGAAAAAAGAAAGAAAAGAAAACGGCCAACTTTCTCGCGTGGAAAGCTCGTACTCACCAAATCAACAATAACAAGCAGAAAGTAGCCAGCTTAGGCAGCTTGGTCTTCTGCATGACCGACGCAGTGCGATCAGGCCAAGTCCATCTCACCAGCTGCCCAACGAAGAGCGGCAGTAACACACTGAGTCCCAATTGTTGAAAAACCTCTTTATACATACTCCCCAAATTCCCACCCCCATACCGCCAGGGATCAAACTCCACCATCTTGGGCATCAACTCAATAGTCCAAGCAGCCGCAACAAACGGTCCGAGAACATTCGCCAACAGAACCTCCACCAGAGCAGCCGCATCATCCCCGCCCGCAGACCTCGTCATAACAACATTGGACGCAATCGTCGTCGGAATACAAGCAGTAAAGATATACCCGGCCAGCACGGCGCGATCAATCTTACCACCTGGATCCGCAGCGAGGACAATATATATGATGGCCAGCACCAGCGCGGGAATAAACAGAAATGAAATCCCCTGTACGATTAAGTGAAGGCGCCAATTCAGCACGTGCGAGATAAGCTTCTGGCGCGGGATGCTCAGGCCCGAGATTAGGAAGATGATCGCGATCACGCCGTACATGATGCTGTACTCGGAGCGGATGGTGCCGCCGTGCTTGGCAACATTCGGGAAGTAGTATGCTAGGGCGCACACGATCCCGATCCCAATTAGGAGCCATTGATGGAGGATTAGACTGGCGATGCGCTTGAAGGGTTGCTGCCACCGCGGCTGGGCGGTGTCTTGGGTTGCTTCCATTTTTTTTTGTTTAGTCTAGGAATGAGACATGGACCTTGTACTTCCGTGGATAGTTTGGCCTCTATAGGTTGAGTTGATCCTGTAGGGGTATGTAGGGGATAGGGCCTGGTCAGTTGAGAATCGCGTAATCGGCATTAGTCCGATTCATCGGAGTTGACAGCGCGTACAGGAATCGCATCATCTGTTTGAAGCTATACGTCGTACCATGACAACGTACATTGCAGTATCCATCATTATGGATATGTGTATGTTTTGCATCTTTTTGTATATCAAACCCGCAAGTCCAGAACAGGTCGAAATCGAGTAGCCGATGTTATGGCAGTCGGGTCGAATAACACATCCTATCTCAGAATCTACACCTAAACAACCTTGGAAGTCTGTTGAAATTATAATGAAGATTGTAGGTTCAAATTGGCATAGAAATTCCCTCTCTCCTGTTTGCTATAGCCATGAGAGAGGTAGAAATAGTCCTCTATCTCCCTCTCTCTTTCCTTTCCCCTCTCCCCAGTCCATCGCTTGAGGTCTGCTATCTCTTCCATTGGGATCGCAGCGGTTCTTTCTTCATTGGATCTCCACGTGTAACGATCCCTAGACCGAGGCCGCGAAGGATGCTAGCGCGCCCAGCCGAATCTCGAACTTTTGTTTTCCCTTTTACAAAGCTCAAATTGTATTCCCCTTACTGAGTTAGGCCTTCTATGTCGCATTCCACTTTCGACCCTCAGCGATCCGCTGAACTACACAATCAAATTCTGCAGTATGCATGGACTGGTGCCAGTCATGATATTGCTTCGCTCCCATCCACAACTTGGTGGGAGGAATATTCCCCAGTCGGCCTCGAGTCACGCGTAACTCCCAAGCTCGCTCAGTTCCTCCGTACAGCTAGATCGACTCCCTCAAGGGGGTGGTCAGATAATGATCCTGGGTTTCACTTTCTCTACGTTTTAAGGGCTCTACAAATCAGCAACAATTTGCTCCGGTACCCTTTGCTTGATGACGAGGATGACCGATTCGTGTATCTATATGAAGCGACTGGCTGTTATACATGTGGTGAGGAAGTTGGTATAGCGTGAGGTTCTTTAGAAAAGGAAATATAACCAAAAAGCCTTGCGTGCTAGATTCGATCAAAATACAGAACTAGCTGCCTACATCCCTGACTGGCAGTTTAGCAGACTTGTCATCGGCAATCCAGGCTGCTGGATGCCACTCCAGCAGATAGTAGGGGCTTACCTAGAAATTATTGAAGAGGGGAAAGTGAAGACGTCCACTAAAATAAAAGAGGCATTCTCCCAATTCTTCCCATGGGAGTATTATCAATATACGCAGCGAGATGTCGACAAGTCGATCACTACGTTCACCCGCCTCCTCGATGCGATTGAATGTCGAATCCCGTTTCAATCGGCCAAGATAGATATCCAATATCCACAGTCTGTGCTTGACGAAGCTTTCACTCCCAAAAAGTCCTTCGTCAGGTCATTTCTCTCCGCCCTTCCTCGACGTCAGGTTTATTTCCGCTATATCGCTCCAGGGCTTCGGTTACAGTCTGTCGACGAATTCAAGAGTCAGCCCTTTGCAGCACACAGTGCTATAAGTCAAAATGACTCGGACGACGAAGGTGAAGAGATTCCATTCCTCCTCTTCCGAGCAGACGGATCCAATCTTTCACCCTGGGGCCAACCATTTAACAACGTTGATACCCCTGCTGGTTTATACACTGAAGACATAGATAAAGGTAGAGCACAGGATTTTGGGAATATGTGTAGGCTACTGTTTCCCTTCGGAATTGGGTCTAAAGGATACGCTCGAGATATCACTGGGAGACAGATTGGATTCTATGGAAGTCCGATAACACCCATAGACCATCCCCAGGAACTTTATCAAGTCTGCGATTCAAATGGGTCTTGGAGACTCATGGTGTTCGACTCCATAAGGTGCTATTGAATTGGGCAGAAAGAGTTGAAATGGGTGATTGGGACGTGGATGAGAATGGGGTTGCGGGTGGGATTGAGAAGTTCAAGGATGCTGATACGCCTGAAAATTGGGACAAGTATCAGATTCCGCTGTCGTGGTGAGAAATCCTACTTCTATCTGAATACCTGTTGTGATGGGATGTTGGACAAAGGTATTGTACATTATGAATGGATCCAGGATAAAGGTACTATATAGTAGATCTACGAGGAAGAAGGGATGGTCAATAGTATGGAATGAGATAGAAGCTGATGATGATGATCTCTAACTACCCACGAAGCTACGTCTACATAGCTTCATGGAACAAAAGGCAAAAGGCTCACTGGAGCTCAAAGAGGCAAAAGGAGACCTGCTCCATACTGCACGAAGGCACTGCACATCTCCTGAATGCATCAATTATCCCATCTCCCATAGATGGGATAATCCAACACTTTCTCACTCGATATCTCTTTTCAGGCTCAAATGAGGTCAAATGACTACGTAGTCCAGCCAATATGAAGGGTTATGAGTGTGAAAGGGTAGAACAAGCATCTTGTGGAAAAGAAGCAGTCCAATGACAGATACATGCCCAGGCGCATCCTGCGTAGCTAGCAATCATCAAAGATACCAATCCCTTGGTACGCGGGAAGAAAAAGAAAGAAAGAAAGAGACAATTCATTTCCATTGCCTCAAGAGTGATGTAAGTTCACATTGGTTACCATTTCCAGTCAGAGCTATGAAGATACCAGTCTATCCTTCTAGATGACTTCCATTCATGCCATAGGAATCTATACGCGTCGTTTCTTCATACAGATCTGTATGGAGAGGAATATATAAAATAGAAACCAATAAATGTATTGCTATTATCTGACTGACTTACTCAGGGAAATAGAGGAAAGGAAAGGATTTATCTGCTCTACAGTCCTGGGATAAACATTGCCACGTGATCAGTTATCAACGATTCGGTAAAACGTACCTCCGATATAATGACGGCTCTATCAACGTCACCACCTATAACAGCTGCCCGTATGTGCATCCTATAAGAATCTACAACCCCCGGACTATAAAGACAAGTTTACCCAAGTCTAGCAAGCCTGCAGCAAGCCCCACGTCCAACATTCAAATACTTTAATTGTCCGTCTGACTCAGAACGTCCCATGACCCTATCTGCAGATGGACCTCGGCTGAGAGGAGCTCTTGCGTTGGCCCGAGATCACCCGCGCAAATAGCCAGCCGATTTCGCTACTTTCCTCCGAAATTCTAGCCCAACTGTTCAAAATGACCGGAGTAATTTAGCTCCCTAGAAATATTAGGAGGTTTTCTAGAATGATGTAGTGTACGGGTATATGGTTGCGTGTAGGATAATGTACATGTAGTTGGATAAGGTACGGGCATTTCATACGTTATTTTCCTACATTGTACGATCTAATCTGAAGATAAAGTACACAATCACAAGCTGCCAAAACTATGACGACAGTTTGGAAAAGGCATGTGAAATCAGATCATTGGAGATCTGGAGTGATTCATTCCGCGCTGGATAGAGAGCCGCCCTTGTTACCGAAGGCCTCGGGATTGTCTTGGGAAGCCCTACAATTTGTACTCGGTACAGACTGGACATAATTATTATATAGAGATCTCCCTCGGCAAGTCATTTAGACTGCTATCTCTGTCTTCTTTCTCTCTTTTCTCTGTTCTTCTCATTTTGTCATTTTATGGGAGGTCATATACACTTCCGCTCGTCCAGCTTCCTCCGCTTCCCCGTCATAGCTCCCCACAAAACTTGGCCGCCACTTCGCCTCGTCAATCATATACTCGTGAAACTTCGGCTTTCCCTTTTATTGAAAGATTAAGGATCTTTGCAATTGATCTCTTGATCTTCCCCGGACACTCCAGATATACCATCTCTTCCAACTGCAGGTCGTTTCTGCATATTCTCCGGGATTGTATACTTCCGCTTCTCCGCAATTTCGGCTTTCCCTTGCGACAATCGGAAGATCTGCGTAATTCGATTTCCGAGACGGCCGATTGAAGCATTTCTGTGACTTCGTGAATAAAAGTGCAAATTCTCTGCATATATACCAACATATTGAAACAATGTCCGCCAAGACTGCCAATCAGAAGCGCACATCGCCCGCGGTCAACTTGATCGGTAGAGTAGACTCACCCCTTTTGGGACGGTGTACAGGTATTGACTTTTTTTGCCTGATTAGCTGGTGGTGGTGCCGGTATGATGGAGGCCCTCGTGTGCCATCCGCTAGACACAATCAAGGTCCGCATGCAGCTGTCAAGGAGAGCCACAGCACCTGGGGTGAGTTGGAGAGATCCCCATTTGACAGTTGAACCCATTGCTGATCATGTTCGGTGGTCAGGCTAAGCCGCGCGGGTTCGTGTCTACCGGTGCTCAAATCGTGCAAAAGGAGACCGCTCTTGGTCTGTACAAGGGTCTTGGTGCCGTGCTGGGTGGTATCATCCCGAAGATGGCCATCCGATTCACCTCGTACGAGTCATATAAGGGCCTGCTCGCCGATAAGGAGACAGGCGCCGTGACCAGCAAAGCCACTTTCCTGGGTATGTCAAGCATTGAACAAGCCGGACGATATACAACGGAAAGCTAACAATCTCCGCAGCTGGTCTTGCCGCCGGTGTTACCGAAGCAGTAGCCGTCGTCAACCCCATGGAAGTCATCAAAATTCGTCTGCAGGCCCAGCACCACAGTCTGGCTGATCCCCTGGACACCCCGAAGTATCGCAGTGCCCCGCACGCGCTCTTCACCGTGATCAAGGAAGAAGGCTTTAGCGTCTTGTACCGCGGTGTTTCCCTGACAGCCCTCCGACAAGGAACAAACCAGGCCGCCAACTTCACCGCATACACGGAACTGAAGGCTGCCCTGCAGCGTTGGCAACCCGACTACAGCAACAGCCAGCTGCCCGCTTACCAGACCACCATGATTGGTCTGATCTCCGGTGCCGTTGGCCCCTTCTCGAACGCCCCCATCGACACCATCAAGACTCGCCTCCAGAAGACCCGTGCTGAGCCAGGTCAGTCTGCTGTCTCTCGTATCATGGTCATTGCCAAGGACATGTTCAAGACGGAGGGTGCTCGCGCTTTCTACAAGGGTATCACCCCCCGCGTGATGCGTGTTGCTCCCGGTCAGGCTGTCACCTTCACCGTGTATGAGTTCCTCAAGGGTAAGCTGGAGGGCTCTAACTGGGCTTTCGTTGGTGGCAAGTTCGAGGAGTAAGCGTGCCGAAAATTCTTCTTTTTGATTCCTTTTGCAAAGCATTGTGATACCTGACCCGGCATGGCGGGAGTCGCATCTCCTCTGTTTCGCGCGTTGCACTGTCTCGGGCAGATCAACTGCAAGCTGGTTGAAATGGCTCTTTTCTTTTTGTAAATATTGTGTGCTTTGCGTTAGTTCTTTTGTATACCACTTTGTCTGGTGCGCCTTGAGCTGAAATAGAGAATATTCAAAGACTCTTGACGGACCGTTCACCAGTGTAGTTGGGTGTTTAAGGGTCCATGGATGACTGGGTGGTTGTAGATATACCAGTCAGCAATGCATCTGTAACGACCACACAAGAACATATTTCTATCGCGATAGGATAATCAATTGTTTCTTTTTCTTTCCGGTAGACTTGTTAGATGTAGAAAGGTCAAAATAAAGCCCCAACGGCTGACACGCCATCGGCCCCTCATTCACCGCTCCCCCTCCCCTCATAAACAACAACCAACCCAGCTGCATATCCTAAAGTGCAGCATCATGCAGTCAGGAATTACAGGTAAGACACTTGAACAACACTCGAACACACTTGACTTCGAAGTCTGAAATCCCATTGAACTTAACACTATAAACCCCCCAGTCTCCGCGGAGCTACAAGATGCATTCACCCGCTTCAACTCCGACTCCTCAACCTTCTGTTTGCCGGTAACCATCACAGCAGAGACCCTGACACCGCTGGCCCCGATCTCCTTCCAGGGAAGCCCCTCGATAAATGCCTTCTTTTCAGCCCTCCCACAGCTGTCCTCCGTCCTCCAGCCTAAAACTCCCATCTACCTCCTCCTCCGGCGCCCATCGACCGCCTCAAATGCACTCATCGCTTTGACCTATATCCCGTCTAATGCGCCCGTGCGAGCAAAGACGCTCTTTGCGTCGACTCGCTCGACGCTGACCCGCGAGCTGGGCACGGAGAAGTTCGCTTCGACCGTCTTTGCTACCGAGGAAGACGAGATCCTGGGCCAGGATGCGTGGCGCGAGCGTGATGGCGAGGGCCCCAATGCCATCTCTCGTGAAGATATGATGGGCGAGAAGGAGAGAGAGCTGGAGGCTGTTCGTAAGGCCGAGGCCGAGGCACGGAATGGCACCCCCGGGAGGGATATTGGCATTGGCGGCACTTTTGGACCTGGCTCTGGCTCCGGAATGAGGGTCTCTATGCCGGTTGACGAGGGTGCTAAGTCTGCACTGAGAGATCTACAGGATGGTGGGCTGGTACAACTTGTAAGTTGTTACCCAGGCTTGGGGTCATTGTTTGGGAGGGGTGGGCCGGACCTGCGAGATTTGAGGCTAACTTCAAGTAGACGGTTGATATTCCTACGGAGAAGATCGTCCTGGCCGACTCCCAGTCTGGAGTTGAGGCAAGCTCTGTCGCCGCGCACATTTCCTCCTCTTCGCCGCGTTATTCTTTCTATCATTACCCCGGATCCGATGTCGTGATCTTCGTGTACACCTGTCCCACTGGATCTTCGATCAAGGAGCGTATGCTGCACGCCAGCTCGCGGAGAAACGCCATCACAGTTGCTGAGCAGGAAGGACTCAAGATCGAGAAAAAGGTATGCTTGCCCGTGTTGTGTATGACTGTAATTGTTTGGTCGATTTGGATGCTCACAATTAGCAGATCGAGGCCTCTGGCCCTGACGAGATCACCGGTGATCGGTTGCAAGAGGAAGTCACCCCGCCACGAGACCAGGGTCCTGCGCGAGGATTCGCCAGACCTCGTCGCCCCGGCCGGTAAATCGCTATTGTATAGATAGGTTATGTTGATGATGCCGGCAAACTCCGTGCCTCAGCGGACATCGATCCAATAGCTGTAGTAAATATAGCAGGACTGTGCTAGACCTCCCCAGGTTATTGTCCAAAACTTGTAACTGCTTGTTCAGGCGAGACGAATAAAGGTAGAATTGGATCTGGGGCAATTCCTGCTCATAGGATGGTCGGAGCATTGTCGGCTCCTCAGATACCCCCATTGGGCGCACAGTTTTAACAGAAGACCCGTGCCTGGACTGATCTTTCCTGAGATAACTGTGGTCATGGCCAAACTGACCTGGGCTAGCAATGTAGCACTCTTAATTATTGCTTGACGTAGGTTTAATGAGCAACGGAAGGAATCTTTCGAATGGCCATGTTCGTTATGAATATGCACATTGCTTTAGATGCCCAATGAGTTCCAATATGAATCTCAAATACACAGATTCAAAGTAACAAAAAAGACTCCAGGGTATTAGTCAGTGTCGGCCTAAAGAACCAAGCCATCTCACCACATAATTTGACATGAAAGGGTCGACTACAGTCGACTACAAGCTAATAAATCACTGTGTCCTCGTTATCCTCAACGACCTCGCCTCCGTCATCGTCTCGGTGGGCATCATGCTGATCTTGAGCGGCACTTTCCTCCACGTTAGCAGTGGCTTCATCCGTTTTAGCTATATCGGGGTTTTGCTCATTAATCTCTCCACCCACCGTATCCGGAGCATCCTGAGCCGTTTCCTTAGACTTTAAATCTGTCGGATCTGCCTCGTGCTCTGGAGCCGATGGCTGGTCACGAGGACCATCTGTTTGCTGCTTCTCTTCAGACATTTTTTGCTGCTCTTTACCTGCCTGCTGGGTTTCAGCCTGAGTTGGCTGGATTTCAACCTGCGCCGGTTGTTCGGGCGCAAATGCCTCCGGTGGATATCGGGCTTCGAACTCGGCGACTTCTCGGGCAACAGTCGCCTCTGCTTCTTCGATCTGCTGTTTTATCGCCGCATCATCGCCAGGTCTGGGTTGCCATGGTTTGTAATACTAAGGTGGATTAGCTGATGGCTACTATAGCTGAATAGGAAAGCATAACTCACCAGAGCTGGCTCTGCCTGTGTCTTGAAGAAATGTGCCATGGCAAGCATATTCGAATGCCGCGTTTGCATCTGAGAATGGAAAAAGATCAGGAAACACTTTCATCATGAGATACCCCAATGGTAAGTGAATAGAACATAAACATACCGCTTCTCGCTCATACAACGGTGTTTCCCTCCTCCGAATCTCATCACGCTGTTCCTTGCGTCGTTTCTTCAATTCACCGTACTCAGCATCCTGCGACTTCAACTTCTCTTGCTGCTTCTTTTCAATATCGGCGCGCCGTCTCTGTGCCGCGGAACTTGAGCTCTGCGAGAGAGTACCAAGCAGCCCCCCGAATAACCGCTGGCCCCGCTTGCGGTCCTCCTCTCGACCCCCGCGCGGTCGCGTAGGCTTCGTCTCTACTGACTCATTTTTTGTAGGCGGAGGGGAAGACGGCCGACGCCGCTGAGAATGCGGGGAGGTATTGTCTGTAGAGCTGATTCGTCGGCGCTTAGTGTCGTATTCTGCCGTTGAAGACTGCCGTCGCTTTGCTGTCAACTCCGGAGACTGCTGGATGGTGTCTTGGCTGGGCACAGCCACTGCTGATGCAAGTGTCTCAGGGCTGTTAAAGTAACATGCGCGTTAGCTAGAGCGCTCCGATTACAACAGTTGCGCATGGGTCGCACGGGATGAGGGAACCATACCCTTCAGACATCTTGATCGGCAAACAATGCTGGTTATAAGAAACAAGCAGACTGAGGTGGAGCAACAAGCGACGTTTTAGGCTCTGGTCTGGGTCAAATATTGGAGTTGAGGTAAAAAAGCGCAAAATAACGAGACGAAACGCTGCTTAGAATCAGCACTGTTTGGAGTCACGTGCGCAGACCACTTAGCGTTGGTTCACTGTCGGCTTCTCTTCTCTTACCTTCTCTCACACTTATTCTCTTTTCACTTCCCAGCGAGTGCCAGATCATAGCTCGTTCCATTTTCACAGCTTTCCTATTCCCATTTTCTTGTTACACCACTCAACTCACAATGTCTCGTCACCACCCCGATCTCGTTATGTGCCGCAAGCAACCCGGCATCTCTATCGGCCGTCTGTGCGACAAATGCGACGGAAAATGCCCCGTCTGCGATTCCTACGTGCGCCCCACGACCCTGGTCCGCATCTGTGACGAGTGCTCCTTTGGAAACTACCAGAACAAATGTGTTGTCTGCGGCGGCGAGGGCATCAGTGATGCGTTCTACTGCTTTGAATGTACGCGCCTCGAGAAGGACCGCGATGGATGTCCCAAGATCATCAATCTGGGAAGTTCAAGGACAGATCTGTTCTATCAAAAGAAAAGTTTCCGGAATCAATGATATTCAAAGAGGCGCATTGGTCCCGGTGGGAAGGGGTGCAAGCCTTTCTTCCTTTTGAATATTATCCTCGCCTCGGTCAAATCGCGCGTCAAGGGTGAGGATCCTATGTGTAATGTTGATACGGCTTCCAAAGGGTCCATTCATATTTGCAGGGCGATCTTGAATGGTCTTACGTATCAGGAGGCTAAGATTAGTTTTGATAATCGCCCCGTTCAGGTGCGCATCTCCGCTTACAGCTGTGTATGCCATACCTAACGTTTCTGTTCAGAATTCCATCCCTTGGGGGACAACCCTGGCCGCGTCTACACCACCGAGTGATATTGATCCTGCGTCGCTTCTATCGGCTCACTTCGGTGATCTTACGGTAAGCTATTATCCCTCGGATGCGATTTGCGACCATACTAACCCTTTATAGCCAATTGATCTAGGAGGGCTAGTTGACTCAGGATTAAGATTCTATCTTTCAATAAACAGGATTGTGAGCCTTTTCAAGACATCCGGAAGATTGTGCGGGTTCGATGTTGTAATCTCACAAGCCTCGAGGGGGAAAAGCATTTGAGGCTTGTCTCAGAGGCTATAGACAGAGCACAAGACCAAAGACTGGTTACTCGCGAGACATTCTAGATATATCCGCTTGGTATACAAGTATGTTAGAATTCAGTCTACGAAAGTCTATTAGATCAACTATAGCTACCCTTCATTGTTGTTCTATATCTCACAACAATAGTCGGCCGCTTATGCGGCCGTAATCTTCTTGGTGGTCTTCGATAGTCTTTTTATATGCCATGTTAGTGGTCTCTTTTGGTAGTCTCCTCAGGTAGTCTTTTTAGATGTCTGGCTATATAACTATTTCCTGCCCCTTCTCACTTTGTTGGGTAGAGAGTAGAAAAGGGCCCAAAAAAAGGCTTAATTTGTGAAAGCGGCTTAACCTTTGATACGGCTCTTATTTCTAAATAAAAAACGTGGAACAGACATCAAGTGTATTCATCTCAGGTAGTTTGTTATTATATAGTAAATATCTTCGGCTCCTAGCTATCTAGTCGTCGAACTTGACCCCTTCTCTCCATCTCTCTGTCCCGGGGACACCCATCATCTTCTCGAATACCTATGGTCCTATCAATACTCTTCCAAGACCCTTACGATGACAACCGTCCATTTGGGCCTTTGAAAAGTATCTTCTTAAAGCATTTGCAATCCAAAAAAACTGGCCCAGGTGAAAGCCTGGGTGATGCCCTCGATTATCGAGATATGAGATCAAGAAATCAAAGCATACAATGTAGGGTTTATAGCGTCTTGGCGCCCCACTAGTTGTTCTAACGTGCCGAGGCACATCTGGGAGGGGCTCGGGATGCCATCTCTCCGACATCCCCTCCAGGGCTAGCTTCGGGCATGATTATATATCTTTTATTATTCGGACATATATTCGTTAATTCATCAGTCAGTTGTATTTTTATCGAATTCAATAGCCTGTGAGGTTGCACAACTAAATAGTATTTCAAATCTAAAAAGGTGCCGACGAATCTTCAAGACCTCCGACATAAACCCCCTTTCCCTTGAAGACCGAACTTGAAAATATATCTATCACCGCCTGAATCAACTATCATGCCAGTCGACAAGATTCGAGTATCGGGTGACTCCCGCATTGAGTACAAGACCGCTACACTCAACGGCCATAACTACTGTAAGCATACCAGACTGCAAAGAGCTTATACTCCAATATCTCCTACGCGAAACAGATCCGAACTGACGATTTGCAGCTTACCTTCTCAGCCTGCCCAAATCAGGGCAATACAAAGCCACCGTTTTTCTGGTAAGCGGCCAGCTCAACGTAAAAGCCACACATGTTGACATATGTTCTCCATAGATCCATGGCTTCCCCGATCTCTCCATGGGATGGCGGTACCAGATACCCATGCTGGTAGATATGGGCTTGCGGGTGGTAGCTCCCGACTGCCTTGGATACGGTCGAACAGTGAGTGTTTCCACCCTATTATCGGAATTATCATCTAATAACAATTCAACCAGGACGCCCCAGACGAATTTAACCCGTATTCCCACAGAAGTTGTGCAGCTGACATCAAAGCCCTAGCAACCCATCTAGGCGAAACCCAAATCATTCTAGGTGGACACGACTGGCAAGCACGCCCAAGCAAACTGGCTTTCGCAGAACCACACAGCTGATACACAAAGCAGGGGCGCAGCGCTCGCCTACCGTATTGCCCTCTGGCACCCGGAGCTAGTAAGCCACCTATTCACAGTCTGCGTGCCTTATGCACGACCCATGGCCCAGAATATCTCCATCGAAGATCTTGTCCGCAACGTGACACCGCACTTCGCATACCAGCTGCAGTTCAAAAGCGGGGAGGTAGAGAAGGTTATTCAGTCTAAGGATGAGATTCGCCAGTTTTTGCTTGCGCTTTATGGGGGTCGCACCGAGGCGGGCGAGTTTGGGTTTGATGCCAATAAGGGGGTTTTGCTTGATAAGATTGGCCAGTTGAAGCCTTCGAGGTTGTTGAGCGAGGAGGTAAGTTGAGTCTATTTGATTTGGGTTTCGGGGTTGTTATACTGACTTCCTTTAGGAGTTGGAGTTTTATACAAATGAGTTTGCTCGGAGCGGTATTCATGGACCACGTATGGTTTCTTCTGGATTTGCTGGTTAGTCTCTTGCTGATTATTTCTATAGTCAACTGGTACCGCACTCGCGACGTGAACTATGAAGATGAGCTTGCTATTCTTGACAGGGGGATTCAGGTTCCTACGCTGTTTATCCAGGGGTTGAGGGATCAGGCTCTGCCGCCTCATTTGGGCAAATCCATGTCGAAGCAGGTCCCACAACTAACCCTGAAACAGGTTAATACCTCGCACTGGGCCCTGTGGGAGAAGCCTGAGGAAGTCAATGAGATTATTGGAACTTGGCTGAAGGACCAGTCTTCTGCCGATGGAAGGGCTGGCAAGCTCTGATTGGAGAAACAGTTGGAGTGACATAGTGAAAAGGAAACATGATTGATTATTGCGAAAGTACGTATCTCATATCGTCAAAGTATTAAGAATATACGCCTCGTCACAGGTCGCGAGAAGTTGCTTGGCCCATCATAACTGCACAGGGCTGGGACTCACCCGTGAACGATGAAGTTGTTTAGTACTGGAACACCTTAGTCTCGATTTTGCAGCCAACCTTTTCCAAGCGGTCCACGTAGTCCTGACCCAGCGTAGCGGGAGTAACAATGCCACCACGCGAGACCTTCTTGATCTTCTCCTCCTCGTTAAGAATAACCATAGCAGCCTCGGCCAGCAACAGTCCAGTAAAGGGGTACATGCCGCCGTGGTAAGTGATCTTACCGAAGACCCGCTGGGGTGAAGCACTGTCCGCAGTAGCGATGGCATGGTACTCTAGAAGGTCATTTGCCGAGTCTTCTCTGCGTGGACCACTGCCAGGGGCAAAGACGAACTTCTGCACCAGCCAGCGTACCGGCGGCAGTGCAAGCAGCGAAACTGCAACCAAGAAGCCGAGGTGGACAGCGACGCCGACTAGGGCGTTACGGACCGACAGGAATTGACGGAAGAAGAATTGCTGCCCGTACAGTTCTGGCATCAGGCTGCTGCTGCGATGCACGATGGTCATGTCGCAGATACCGGATGGGGAGGTCGTCACGGTACCCAGGTCGGGAATTGAGCGTACACCAAATGCCCTTTCCAGGATTGATTCTCCGGGGATGTTCTTTGGCGGGGACGCTACCAATGAAAAGGGAGTCATTGCCTTGGATAGCTCGGAGACTGAAAACCCGTCGAAAATGGTTAGAATAGTATGCATGGTGCCGCCGCTAGGACCGGAGGATCTGTTGTGAATGGATTAGAGATATGCTTCTTCGTGCACATCAAATTACGTACTTCATTTCTTTGATGGTGCTGTCGACCTGGCGGGTTGAAGACGAGAAGTCCTCTCGGACTCGCTTAACCAGCGCCCATGCTAGAATATCAGCAGGGGCACTCTCGACACCAGTACAAGGGATCATCTGTCTGCTATTAGCACAAATATATCGGATAGAAATTCGTCGCAGAACGAACAATAGCGCCATTAGTCTTAGCGGTCTCGTGGTACTTGTCGATGATTGACTTGACCCAGGGTGTTTCTCCAGTACTATAACGATCAGCAAGTGCTCGAATAACTTGTACAAATACAAAGCAAAACCTTACACATCCACATAATGAGTTCCATTAACAGCGCATGCCTCCACGACTGGTGTCGAGTACAAGTGGTAGGGACCCACACAATTGATAACCAGCCGGGTCTTCTGGGCAAGCTCGTTAAGCTCGGTGGCGCTCAGTTGGACTACCAGGACATCTATGATCATATCAGAGTCAGCATTGAAATACAAAAGCCGTGGACAGATGGGACGGTAAGGTTTATTATGTACCTGGGTTCACGCGATCTGGGTTAAGAGCCTTCAATTCCTGGGCGATAGGCTCCATTTTTTGCGCGGATCGACCTGCGATAGCCCATTTCAAATCGGTAGGAAGGTTCTGGACAATGTGCTCTGCGCAAAATCGGCCAGTATACCCAGTTGGACCCAGCAAGATGAGGTCATATTGTCGGTTGGAAGTCATGGTGGTTGAGTTGATGGGGTTGTAGTCTATGATGTAGTTTTGAAGGACAGGGGAGCTTTCGGCAAATCACAAGCTCCTCGGCACCTTTAAAGATGCAGTGTTGCGGCTGGAAAGGGAAGCAAGATGGATAGACACGAAATAGTTTTTGAAGATTTACGTAGGACTAGAAGCAACAGATGTTACACAATTGAGATTCTACCTTGATCTAGGAATTACAGAATGTTTATATTCCACGACAGGAAACGATCACGTGACCGGATAGATTGATTAGCCCGAGAAAGGGAGACCAGGGGTGGTCTCGAACACAATCAGGCCGAATTGGGACCTGGGATGGACGATATACAGTATTGCATGAGGCCATTTAGGATGTAGAGCACTGGAGAGGAAATTGGGTAACTTAATCAACTATGGAATCAGACACCTGAAATAGAAGGTATCCAAATAAAAATCAAACAGAAAAAGTCCAATTCAACATCAAATCAAAGAAATTCTTGTAAATCCAACCAAAATCATATCCACCGACACCGTCATCGTTCATCTGGTGGACCTTGTGGACCTGCGAAAGAGAAAGTAAGCATTAGAAACCTGAGGCCACAGCATGACATAAGCCCACTAACTCAAAATGGTCAGGTGATCGCACCAAGCCAAGAGCCCTAAGCGAGAATCCACAGCACAACCCGCCCTCATTCAAAGCGTCTTTTTTGGTCTCCTGTTGAATACCCATCTTCATCCTCTACACCAGCCAAGATGACGAAGCGCACCAAGAGTATGTGCCTCTTTCTCGAATTCAACTCACCGCAGATCGAATTGCTCAATGCTAACTATTTTTCACAGAGGTCGGCATCACCGGTAAATATGGTACCAGGTATGACATTCGCCCAATTCGCGCCCACACGACAGTTCCTTGAGACACACGACCTATATCGAATACTTCTATACGACCAACACAGATTCTAATAATTTTCCAACAGATACGGTGCCTCCCTGCGTAAGCAGGTGAAGAAGATGGAAGTCACCCAGCACGCCCGCTACGTCTGCACTTTCTGCGGAAAGAACACCGTCAAGCGCAAGGCTGTTGGTATCTGGGAGTGCAAGGGCTGCGACAAGACCGTTGCCGGCGGCGCTTACACCGTCTCGTAAGTCGCCCACGATCGCAAGGAACGACACTGTGATCCGACCCAGGATCGACCTGGGTTGGCGCACACGGTCGCAATCCACAGCACACAAAACGGGAACGGATTACTGACAGTTCCATTTTATCTAGCACCCCCGCTGCCGCTGCCACCCGTTCCACCATCCGTCGTCTGCGTGAGATCGCTGAGGTCTAAATGGGAGGATTGTGTGGTTTCATTTCTCTTTACGGTTACGTCTGAATACCAAAAATGAATGAAAAAATTCGGGATTACGAATTCTTGTTGCAATCCGCTTCGCCCCGAGTATACCGTATATCGATGTGACTGGGTTTCAAAGTTCGCCTCGGTCGCTGCCTACATGATAGTCAATCCACCGTTCAATCCAAGATCCTCCGCCTGATTACTTCGATGTTTTGCGACCGTGTGAATCATATGGATGGACTGCGGACCTGCGGTCCTTTGTGTTTTCTCCGGCGCTGGACAGTCGCGTAGACTCGACATCAGTGGATCTTGGTTTGGAGGTCACCTGGTCTTAGCGTATTGTCTGAGTGCTTGAACGGACTGCACTTCGGACTATATCTTCACTGGTACTTTCTACGTGCACCTGAACGTTTGCACGGGGTGTCTGGCATATTCCGACCCACATGATGCGTACCCTACTGATACGATACTCTCCTGGTGACGATTTGCCGGAGATCTTGCACGATGACTAAGGTGAAAACTGTTCAAGGCTGCCCACCTGAGTGCCCGGGTGTGATTCGGGTTTCAGCTAAATCATGGGCGCCTAATGTAGTAATTTTTACTTTGTAGATCGGCCACCTTGCCTTCACTTAGGGACTTTGTATAGTTTTGTGTTGTACAGGGGCCTTGATGGTTGCAGGATGTCCATATCAGATACTCAGGAATAGTATAATTAAAAAGAACTTGTATAATTCAATCTGCTCGATATCTGAAATACATAATAATATCGATAAAATAGTCACATACCCGCCAATCCAGGGCATCGTGCATCATTCGCCTCCGTCACGTTCCTGCTTTGCGTTAGTCCGGTAATCCGGCCCACCTTCAAAAGGCGCTCCCCACACCATTCTCGCTTCTACACTTCTCGAGAGTCGCTCTTCATGGACTTCGCTTTCTCTAATAACTCTTTCGCTCATGTCCGATACCTGTATTGTCTGTTTAGGAGACCTTGGTGAAGGAGCGGGTGATCCTCTCGAGCCTGTTAGCCTTGATTTGAAGGATGGCGACTTCAACGGGCTCGACTCTCAAATCGCTCAGCTACTTCCCTGTGGTCATGTCCTACATAATAATTGTTTAAAGCCATGGGTTGAACGAGCAAACAGTTGTCCAATATGTCGGCGCAGTTTCAATATGGTGGAGTTGAGTGATAATGTCGGAGGTATGACGCTCCCCCTTCCTTTGACTTATGACATGCTCTCCTCTTGATTATGAGTACTGACTATATTGGTTTATTATAGGAACTGTTACTTCATCCTACGCTGTCCAAGATCGAACCCAAGTGGCCGAAGTTGACCCTTCTATGATAATTGAATATGTGGAAGATGACTTGACCGATTTTCAACCATGTACAATTTGCGGACAAGCCGACAATGAGGATGTCCTCCTTTTATGCGATGGGTGTGATGGGCCTTCTCATCTATACTGTCTAGGTTTGGACGAGATCCCCTCGGGGTCATGGTACTGCCAACAATGCGAGGAGCTACGTGCTCAGGGACCGGCTCCCGAAGTATCAGCACGGCCGTCTCGGGCGATCGAGCAGCGGAGTCGACGAACTAGGGCTCAGCAGAGACGACTGCAGAATCGAACTCAGACGAATTCTCTACATTGGGCACGAGTCTGGCAATCCGTCTGGGATCATCTGAATCTTGATCTGGATTTCCCTTTCGATGACGATCGATCTGCCGAACGTGCAATGCAACAGCGTCGTCGCGAGGAGGCTAACCAGCGCGAATTTCAGGCTTGGCAACGCCGCTTTGAAGTCGCTGAGCGACAAGGTGGTGGCAGTCGGTTCCGCGACACAGCGTCCCTGTTCGATCTTGACCATGCCCGACCATCGCGGCCTCGGGTCCCTAGAGTTCCGACACCAGAGCCCGAGTCCCTGGAGGAAATGCGGGCTTGGAACGCCTTTGAGAGGGCAAGAGAGATCGAAAACGACCCAAGTGCAGCTAGGAAACGCAAAGAGCCGACCATGTCGCCGTCTCCGGAGCCTACAGAGCCAGAGCGCAAGCTGAAGCGTCCTCGAACGAGGAGGCCGCAGGAGCTCGCGGCTCTCGCACAGCAAACTCAAACTGGTGAATCATCCAGAGCCGCGAGCTCCAGTGTGCGACCGGGTGATACCTCAGGACCAAGCTTCCTGTCATCACTATTGAAGGAAGTCGAAGACGCACCGAGCCATTCATATGGACCTTCGGCTTCGACATCTGTCGCTCCTACTGACCACCCATCTCCTGGTCCCTCTTCTCCCTCCATCTCTCCCGCCTCATCTCGCTACTCCTCCCCTCTCGTCTCAGCGGCCACACCGCCACCTTTCCCGCGAAGCCGCCCCATCTCCCCCCTTCAACTATCCTCCCCGGCCCAACCCTCATCTCCTCCTTTCTCCCCCGAAGTGTCCTTATCGGGTAGCCCATCGTCAAACGGCGCAAATGAAGACAAACCACAACGCCAGCCCGGTCGTCCTCGTTCCCGCGTCCCCCAACGAGCACTGTGTTTCGGGGCTTCCCGCTCATCTGACTCATCCCCTACTCGAACTGGCCCATCCCTAGCCCTCAAAGCCGATATCCAGAAAATGGTGGGCACTGGACTAAAACCCCATTATAAGAAAAAGATTATCTCGAAAGAGCAATATACGAACATCAACCGGTCTATCTCTCGCATGCTCTACGAGAGGGTCGGAGATAAGGAAACGCTTGAGCCGGATGAGCGCACCAACCTCGAAACAGAAGCCAAGCACGAAGTGCAGAATACAATTGACGCACTCAAGATGAAGAGCAGAGATAAGCAGAAACAGCGCATGGCGGCGACCGACACAGACGGTGATCTATAATGACTATACCACGAACTCTTCCCGGCATTTAATGGCGTTTCTTCTCATCTCAGCGAATCATACTCTCGGCGGAATGGATGGAATGTACAACTGGCGTTTGATCCTTGCAGGCTGTTTTGTTCCTTCTTCTTCTTCTTCTTCTTCTTCTTCTTCTTCTTCTTCTTCTCTTTCCGCGAGGCGTCTCTGTGAACTCTTTTATTCGTAACACCCTGCTTCGATGGGACTGGCTATTGTTTTTCTGTGGAGCTGGTCTATTCCCGAGTCCTTTTTGCTTTTGCTCCATATTGTGTCTAAATATTATTTACCTTCTGACCGTAGGCGGAGGGATGGCCACCCCCGGGTAGCCTCGCCATCTTTGGTTTATTGGGTCTTTCTTTCTATCTCCTAGTTGGGGCTTACGCACTTGTAAAAACGATCCCTTCGCGGATAATCTCTGACGAATAACTTATAGGAAGACAGCGGCAACTCCTGGTTCAATCACGGATCGATTTGGCTGCACGTCTATAGATGGATCTAAATAGAGCATATAGTAAGTGCAAAGGACGCTGTGACATCTGGAGATGAAGCTGATTTTTGAACAGTGTGATACCACCGGAGTCCGGCCTACAAAATATGGAATTGAGGATTCTGATCGGAATCGACAGTTAGCAAGGAATAAGCTAACACATCGGCTCTCGCACTCACCGTCTTATCAGCCAAATCGTCCCGATACGCATTTTCATATCCCTTCGCAGCCCCAGACCGATCTCGCTTGCGATTTTCCCTAGCACACACAACCCGGCGCAAGCGAGGTGCATCATTCTTGATGAGCGGAACCGTAAAATTGCCTATTCAGAAATCAGCTCTAGCACGACCAAACACCACACCCAGTTCCCATCAAACCGATACGCCAAATACTGCCCAAGAAGGTGATAGCTATCGGCCAGGAACCCCTATGGTAACCAGCGACAGCGAATCGAGCGCATAGAACCCGAACGAGTTGATGATAGGCGTGAAAGTCGACACCGGCCCGCTCACAATCATGCCTAGAAACGCAACGATGAAGATCAGCTAGAGCGTATGTACCCTAGTAGCCCGGCCAGCTGCCCGCCTTCGTAGTATGTGTTCCACGCGCCGGAGTTGTTAGACCGCAATCTCGCTATGGTGATGTAGCCTGTCGTTCATTGAACCCGCGTGCTCGTACTATAGCTGGTGGGAGCATAGCACTAGGCCCCAGATTATGGTACTGCGCCTACCATGAAGTACATGTACATATATTCCCATAGTGAGCGTGCCTGTTATGTGGCTAGGCCGTAGTGAGCAGACGGATACGTAGCCTGTGCAGCAGTACTATTCTGGAGATGTTGGATGGGCAATCTAAAACTCGCCAAAGTGGACTACCTAAACTGTCTAAAGCCGTCCAAAACTGTACAATCTTTTGCAAAACCCGGCGACTCAGTAAAATAGACGGTTATTTCTACTAATTTTATCCATTATAATATGTAGTAACAATTTCAGCTCTACAATAATTGCTAGCCGTAACCCAGATAAGACTAGACACAGCAAAATTATACGTAACTCTAGTCTCTATGCATATTACAGGATACCGTGATGGTATCTAAGCCCGCCCATGGACCTGTTTCAACATATCGATTGGTTTGACTTTGTCGAGGTCTATCCTCAGCCATTAGATTTGCAAGGATAGATACGTGGCGTTGCATGTCGACGTGGTCATTCCATGCAGCCTAGATCACAGAGGCTGAATTGCCAACGTGAGCCTGCATGAAAATGTGGGAGCTGTATGCAATATAAAGAGAGTGGGAAATCAGCACCGATTTTCTGTTCTCCAAAATCTCTATTCCCTCGCGACTCTTCCCTTGACATTCGGTTTTATTGTTTTATTATCTCTCCCGGTGCCTTGCCTACTCGGAATCATGTCCACATATCTTTCAGCCGAAGACATCAGGGATGTCGAAGCAATACTTGGGTACGAGTTCCACGACAAGTTCCTTCTAGACAAGGCATTTGAAGCCGCCGGCGCCACCATGGCCCAGGGGGGAAATCAGCGCCTGGCCCTTATTGGCGACGCTGCCCTGAGACTCGTTCTTTACGAGCTCGGGTATGAGTCCAATGAACCGACGAGTGAGACCCCTTCAACAGTACTCCCTTTTTCACCTTCCTTCTTCGTGCCGGTATTGACAGTAAAAGGCACAATGACCATGTCGCAAAATACCCGTGCGACGAATCAAAATCTCAAGCGGCTGGGCGAATCTCTGTGCCTAAATGCCTACTTTCGATTAAATCCCTCAGCTCAGGGTGTCGCGCCCAAAACTATGATGGCAACTACTATGGAAGCCATCATTGGCGCTGTCTACCTCGACAGCGGCAAGGATGTCATGACCACACGAGTTCTGGTCATTCGGCTGGGCATTTTGGACAATGCCTAAGCAGTATGATATCCTCGGGTAAGTATTGGAAATGCTATACCATTAGATCTACCAGATGCTGATTGATTTGTTCAGGTCGCATCTCCGGAGGGGTATACAAATCCCCCGGCGATAATTGCTGGCACATGCCCTGGTAAAGAGGCAAATTATCCCTTGACGAGGGGGACACATTTGGTACACTGTGTCCCCCCCGAGAAGGGCTAGTTTGCCTCTTTATAATGGCATCTGTCAGGTAGTATGGTTGGAATGGGATCTGGATACTCCTGCAGTTGCCATTGGTATATGTTTGACAGGGACTTTCTTAACTCTTTTCGGCTAGGAAGCCACTTGGTACTTTGGCTTCCTAGTCGATAAGAGTTGAGCATATGTTGTGCCAAGCATATACCAACTTCGTCCATTGATTTTTCTTGAATTTTGTTTCCTTTCTGTCGATTTTCTTTTTTAATTGGAAGACATTCAACATGTCATCCACTGATTTGTTTTGGGATCTCCAACAGTCATGAGACGATCCAACATTGTCGAGTGGATTTTCCCTGGTACTTGCTGTCCAAATTCAATCTAGTCACTCGTTTCGGGTCTATCTTCGCTTGTAATATTGCTATGGCATATGCACTACTATTCGCTCTCATCCCGTAGGCTGGTACGTTCAACTTGCCAGTAGTCAGATACATCCCTAACAACAAAATACAATTGTTATTAAAGTGAAAAAATATGTTATGGTACTCAAGAATAAGGGATAGACGTCGAAGTCATTGAAGCTGTTAATTGGTGGTATTTTGACTGAACATCTCCCATAGCCCTCGTAGCTCGGACAACCAGCAATAGGGCACATTCAACGACCAGCTCTTGCCAGCAGCCTTCCCTGAAGTTCAGTCCCGTTCGAAATTCTTCTCACTGCGTCTTCTCGCGTCCTATTGCATAATATGCAGTCGTAAAGAAGCTTCCGTTGGACTCAATTCGGTGGACTTTCCTCTGCTCCCACTGGACCTGGGTCTCTCGGGTGGGATTCGAGGCGGCGGCGTCGGAGGCCTTAGGCGCTACAGTATGCAGGAGCTAGATATCAGAAGAGAGAGAGAGTTGTCTTGGGAGAGAAGGAGCGAGCTCTCAAACTAACTAACTATCTACGAGGGGTCCATGGCTGAGGCACCAAATCGGGCGTCATTCTATAGCAGGAGGTCTCTTCATTGGACCATCAGTTTCGCAGGAGAAGAATACATGCTCTTCAGTCGTTGAATTGGCTGCGGCTGTCCCTGTAGGGTTGGTATCTATGATCTGCGGACTCCAGAACTAACTTTGAAAAGTGTCGCTTGCTTCAGACATAACGTTGGGCTACAGACGTCGTAAGCCTCGACCCGTGAGCAGCCCCCGGTGCTGGGTTCCATTGTCAGCCAATACGACGTAGCCACCGAGGGTCACGAGCGGCGGAAAATATACTGCTCCCCGAGAACAACCCTCATCCACCAATGGCGCTTTTTTCTCGCCCACAACTCTTAGTTGCTGCGAATTGCCGTTTTGTTGATCTGGCAGAGACAACATGACCACGTCGGGGGTCCTGCTGTATGCAACTTCAGTGGGCTTGAAGTCACTTAGTGCCATATTGATTGTTTGTGCCTCACAACCCTATCGACCGGCTCTTTGAGCTCCTTAACGTCCTGCCGCAGGCTTTCTTGTTTGGCCGTCTGGTCGGCCATCTGCGCGGCCATCCGTCGGCCTACTTCCTGTCCCTGTATTGTTATCGCCACGGATCCCGACCGAGCATACCATCTCCGGGCCACTCCCGACTTCCATTCGATCTTAGAAGGAGATATTGCGATGAGCTAATAGCTTGGGTCCCCCAGGCAGAAACTCAATCTCAAATTTGATCACATCGTCACCATACGTGAGAAACAGACTATTGGCGCTGGTCAATTGGAATCCGGACACCTAGAGTAGCAGCGCTTTCATTTTGATTAGCTTGAGTCTCCTGATCTGATTTAGGTCCTTGAGACCTTCTTGCTGATTCCTCTGCGGTTACTGTCTCTTTTTCAATAGTCCTCCTTTGCGGTAGCAGTACCCACCGTATGTGACCATGGGCTAGTACTGGACAGCCCAACTGCTTGGATCTCAACATTTCTGAGGAAAATTGTTTCCTTATAAGTCGGCAAGAAGGCATATCGAACATTTAGCTCGTGCATTTATCGGGCAACTTGCCCTATAAGATAGTATAAATATTAGTATATTAAACCGTGGGTATATAAGAAAAATCAGGGGCGAAGCGCCAGAATAGCAATATAGTCTCAGGACTGCGCAATATACTTGAGAAGTTAAAGTCGCTCGACCCCAAGGGGCAATATGAAAGACATATTGTCGGAGTGTCACCCGGCCCTGGCTTGAGTCGTATATATCGTTATAAACTATCATAGGGAATATTCTATTCCCTTACCCTCCCGAAATTTGCTTGTCGGAGAAATATCGTCTCGCTATATGTTGTAAGAAATGCATGCTTTAGCTCCATCTCTTCCATATATCGAGTGATCTGACCTATATCCGGTAAGAATTTTGAACATCAGGCCTAGGTCAAGAGTCTTACCAATTGCGATACGAAAGTCCTGGTCAAAACCTCCATCTAAGCAAGTCAGCACTGGCTTAAGTTCATGCGCGGTTACTCATGTTGTTTTGACTTCTCCCACAACTTTCATAGCACCGGCGGAGGTGATGATGGGCATATCTGGGGTCTTTCTATACCCCGGCGGCAAAACTGCACACCTAGAATTTGCGAAACGTAGATCCGAATGTTCGGTTTGGAACAAGCTCAAAACCTGCCCAACACGTTCTTGTGCTCGTCCTTGAACCCCATGCTCGTCACCAGCCATTACGTGCTCGAATGCCATTGAGTTGCGGGGTTAGGCCCTAGGCCTCACGAACGGTGTCGTCGGATCTCATGAACAGTGAGTTGCTGGAGCATTTGGAGCCTCGATCGAGTTCACCGATGTCGTTGGACTTGTCAGGCACTTCAGAATCCCGTTGAGAGCAAACGGGTCCCCACCACGACGCGCAATAATGGTCGTTGGTCTGTATGAGCAGATGCTTATGAGGCAGCCAGAAGGCGGAAATGTCCTGCTGCAAGGCGGCAGTGATTTTGGAATAGCGCTGGCGCAGTGAGTCACGTTGGTCGGGCAGTCTGTGATACAATGTGTTGTACGGTAGCGACGTCCGGGTCAGACAAGGCGTCGTTGATGGTCCTATATTGGCCAGCATCCCGGGCCAGGTTTAGGATGCGAACTGCGAAACTCTCCGTGGCGGTGTCGAATTGGAGTAGCAACTTCCAGGTTCCAGTGGAAAAGAAAGGCAGACCGTGCGCATCCTGTACAGGGGCGCCATCTGGACGGATAGGTTGTCTGTAGTGGCCGCCGAGATAGAGGGACCAGTCGTCGCTGGAGCCGATACTGGTAAAACAGTTGGTGGGGGCACTGCGATCGGCTCGTGCCCTGCGGCTGTGACGGACGCTGTACAAACAGTATTAAACTGTGGGTATAGTGTATATCATACGTACACACAGGGGATGCGGCGAAGCATATGGTCATCGCCACTCTCAAAACTACGTTCCTCAGCGTGCGGAAATGCGCCCGACCCATGGTGTCTTAGCCTCACCAATGACTCTGATAGCTGCACTATTGTCCAGGACCACCAGATCTGGAACTCTGATATACCTAAATCGCGCAGCAGGACCTCGACTTGGCCTCGTTGTCCACTCCAACTTTTGTTAACGTGTCGTGTTGTTCTAAGAAAGACGACCTATTCATAATTAGATTGCGTCCAGGCTGAGGGACAATGCCAATAAAGACCAAAATCTGCCGGGAGAGCAAAAGGCAGATCTGGGATCATCCGAGGCCGAGATCCCGTAGCGTAGCCTCCTTTATTCCGAATGCAATGTCCGTCTGTTGGAGCGATATATCAGAGGCGGCTATTGTAGGGAGCCGAGGAGATTCGAGATTGAGAAGGTGCCCGACTTGGTTCGGTTGGGGCCAAGAGATAATGGACGGAGTGCTCCTCGTATAGCCTCTTTAATAGAGACTTGGTAAGGCATTTTGGCACTGGATCTTGGAGATCTGTTATGTTAGTAAACAACATGGATAACCGTGGAACGCTGTATGCAACTGACGCGATGTGGGATGTAACACTCGTCTAAAGGGTGGTATCTGATGGAAATGTTCTTCAACACGAGGATGAGATTCTGAATTGGTGATCTCGATGACTTGAAAGCAGAGAAGCGAAAGTCCATAGATGCTGAATGATATGAGGGAAGGGGAATTGTGAGGGTAGTTGGGCGATGCGGTCGGGGGATTGTTGAGCTATAGTCGACAGACTGTCGTACCAGGCCTCAAAGCCTTCTGCAATCCCTCAAAACCGAGTAGACTCACGGAGTGATTTTAACTTCAAGTGAAGTTGAAAATTGAAGTCCATTGGAACAATAAGGCAAACCCACTTTAGTGAAGAACCAGTTCAAGTGAAGATTGAGTAAAATAGAAGTGAACGAAAGTGAGAAGATATTTTGAAAGTTGCCTTGAAAAGGCTGAAAAATGTGTGATAATTATGAATCCCGTTCTGCATAAACGACTTAAAAGAAGGCTTAGTTTTGAGATTAGGACGAATCGTTCATTTGATCGTTATATGCCTCGATCAACTGTGGTGTATGAATTTATAGCTATAGGTAAGTCCGTATTTAATAGCTATAGCTATAAGAGAGATAGGAACCCTATAAAAAACGAGGCGGAAATGGGAGGAGGTGCTTGTTAAAATTAGGAAGTATAGTAGAGCTAAAAGGCGTAGGTTGGTGGGGGGGGGTTATAGTTTTATATTCTAGTAGAAAATTGGCTACATATAGATAATTAATCTATATCCTATTTTAAATTAATTAATTTGTTGCCTGGTAGTGTAACTACATATGTAGTAACCGGCCTTGAGATACTTTTACAGACATTACAGACTCTCCTAACGGAGGGTCCGCCACCCAAAACCTC